AGAAATGATAATTTGAATTTTCAGTCATTGTTAATGTGATGAGAAAAGTTAAACCCTGGCATGTAATCTATGTAACAGAAAATGCAGAAGAGCAACACGTGTTTGGAGGAAAAAGAAAACAAAAAGGTGCATCAACTAGTAAGAAAATAAATGTGAGTGACAGTGATGATGCTTTTGAAAGTCGACCTAGAGATTTCATAAACAAAGCAGGCGCAGTTAAACAAAAACGGAAGAAGCAACCGAAGAAGAGAGCTCTTAAGGAGTTGAAGCATCAATATAAAAGCTTGTACAATATAATAGATCATCACCCCATATGATTGTGCAAACAATAGCTAAGTTCAATGACAAACAAAGAGAGGAGGTTATTATCATATGATTTGGAGTGATGCTGCATTCAGACATCACAAAACTGCCTTCAAAACTTAGGTATTGGGTAGTGAACAACTTGGACCCAATAAGTTGCACACTGAAGCTTTTTGGTGACATAAAGGTTCATGTGACTGATGAAGATGTTGAAATCACATATATTTGCGTTTGTACATTCGAGCTTAGTGTGGTTATAAAACTTTGGTACAATATGAAACTCTAATATAGTTGCAATGCACCATTACGAGTCTATAATTCATTATTTATTCAGGAATGAATTTGCTATGCACTACACACCATTTAAGGATGCAACAATATGATGTATAAGATGACATTAATGGTTATACCACCCTGACACGATTCAACGCTACTCAATAATGATGCATCAACGAGTACTCATTATACAAGACTACAATAAAAACCCAAAAACTTAAAAGTATATTCAATTCAAACATAAGGTTTAGGTTGGACATAGACAAACAATGTCAAACAACAAAACAAGCAAAAACATATACTTTAAGTTTAAGCAAATCTATTCATTCAAAGGGCAATTCCTACTATCATGATGCACACCAATCCTATTAGATACTCATTTCCTATTTTTTAAGCAATCTTCAGAACCAGCAACTATAATCCTATTAGAATCTCTTTTCTATTTTTCGAGCAATCTTCAGAACCAGCAACTTGAATCCTATTAGATGCTTGTTTCGTATTTTTTTGAGGAATCTTCAGAACCTGCAACTTTGGTATTTGAAACAGGACATGTATTATTCTTAAAACCAACTCTATTACATATAATATACTTCATCACTATGTAACCATCTCTGCCCTTCTTTGATGTATGATGACGAATAGTAAACCCCACTGCAGCTGCATATTCTTTGTAAAAACTAAAACCAGTCTAGATTAGGAAATATCATGCCGGCCAACAACCGGTTTCTTTTCGGGTGAACATTCTGAAATCCAGTACTTTGAATCCCCCAGGAGAAATTTGAAGACAACAATTCGCATCTATATAAACAAAAAACGATCTCTAGTATTAAACAAAAACAAAAACTAATATTAAACAACAATAAACACACAATTTCACTTAATGCATCATACAACATAAACAGATGCATAATACATATTTTAACTTGCAGATACAACAGAAACAAATACATATACTGAATTGATGGTGTGGGTGCAGCAGGATAGTACAGAAGATACAGCAGCATTGAAATCACCCTACTTAACTAGGGTTATTGATCCTAGTGAAAGTAATTATGAAATTAATTTCTGAGAAGCAACATGATAACATTCATTAACAAGCCTAATACGTGAAGTGAGATAACATTATGAAAAGCAATTATGAAAATTAGACAATAAACATGATAACATCAACCCCTAGTCCGGAATTCCGGATCAATTAAAATAAAAATGCAGAACCATGACACACGAGCAAGGACACGATCAACATCTGAAGTTTTTTTTTGGGTATGAAAACATAATTCATCAAGATATATGAATACCTGATTCCATGGCACAGGATGATAATGATGGAAGATGATTAAACGCATCAAGTAATAATCTCGATCAGAAAGAAAAGTGCAGAGATTATACCAGATCGATCGGAATGTTGGAATGAAAGAAAAAACGGAAAGTAGGCAGTTGAGAATGGAAAGTAACGAACGTGATTTTTTTGCCATTATAAAATTTTAGTAATTGACCAAATCACCCTCAATCTCAATTAGTTGGCTGTGAGAAATCAAAATAGAAACGGACGGTAATCTTAATCAAACGAATGGCTAGGATTAGGTTTGTAGGTTAGCATATTAAGATGGGTTTGCACTTGATCTCTAATCTATATATATATATATATATTTAGTTTCTTAACTAAATATAATATATATATTTTAATATATATATATATATATATATATATATATATATTTAGTTTCTTAACTAAATCGGGTTTTTTTCGGTCCGGGTCGGGTTTAAAATTTTAGAACCCGAATTAGGACCCGAGTTTTCAGGTTCGGGTCGGGTATTTCAACCTGGACCGATCATTTTTAAAATAAAACCCGGACCAATATCATATATCGGGTTGGGTCCGTTCGGTTATCGGGTTTTGGGTCAGTTTTCCCCACCCCTAGATGAGAGAGTATATTTGCACATTTGTCTCGGTGACCGGTCCTGGATAAGGGGGCAATCAGAAAGAGGAGATATGGTTGGCTGCTCTTAGTTAATTTTTCCCCAATTACTTGTGCTGTTATCTTTTTTTTTTGGATAAACTTGTGCTGTTATCTTCTTTGGTTTAATGGTCGCACTAGACGGGCACAAAGCAGAATACTGTAGACGCCACAGCAAAGCTCCTCCACACTGACAATTCGCAGCAATGCTAGCTTCAACGGCCTTGAATCTAAGCTCTTTCGCTGCCGTTTCCGTGAAGGATTTTCCAGCACACAACTCTCGTAAGCTTTCTTCGCAGTTTGGGTTTCGCTCCTTGCCATTGTTGGCTCTGCCACACGCTTTGCTGAAGCGCTCAAGAACTTGTGTTAAAACCGCCGTAGCCGCTGTCGAATCATCCTCTGATACTGCGGTAAAGGTTTGCCCCCTTTTTATCTAGAGGATACCTGGATTTCTTTTTTACTTCGATAAAATAAAGTCCCCGTCTTTTTTAAATCGTTAGGGTTGATATCCGAACAGGTTTATTATTTTCCTGTGAATTAAAAACTTATTGGACCCAATCTTCTAGACTGCTCGGAAATCTAACTAACTTATGCTAAAATAAAACTGGTGAAGATCTGTTCATCTCTGAGTAGCCTTACTGCTTATATGTTCTTGAATGATGCTCCGAAGTAATCTCTCAGCATCTGTTTGCTTGTCTGTTTGAGTATTGATAGCCAAAATGTGGTTCTTTTATTTGCAGAAAGAAACAGAAAGGAAGAAGTATTATTTTGTTGTTGCGAATGCAAAATTCATGTTAGATGAAGAGGAGCATTTCCAGGAGCAATTGTTTGAGCGTCTTAGGTATTATGGTGAATGTGGAAAGGAACAAGATTTCTGGCTTGTTATTGAGCCTAAGTTCTTGGATCAATTTCCTGTCATTACAAAGAGACTAAAAAGACCTGCAGTGGCTCTAGTTTCTACCAATGGCCCCTGGATCAAGTAATGATCATCTTTTTAAATTAAAAAAAAAATCATAAATTGAATTGTGAATGAAGGACACAATTATTGTCGATGTATGGTAGCTTGAATTGGCTTATTCAGTGGAATAATAGTAGTCTTTGGTTTTGTTGTTTGGCTGAAATTGGTGTCATCAATCACTTTTCTTTTCAGAAACTCAGAAGATTCAGCTATTACAGCCAAATAAACCTTACCAAATGTGCCATAGCCTGCGATGTCTCATACATTGTTTTGTCTATCTTTTGCAGGTTCATGAAACTAAGATTAGATAGAGTTTTACAAGACTGTTTTGAGACTGATAGTGTAGAAGAAGCATTGGCTTCTTCCCCTGTCAAACTTGAGTTTGAGAAACCAGAGAATTGGACTGCACCATACCCTAAGTATAAGTCTGGATGGTGGGACCCCTTTTTGCTTCCAGAATCTCAAACTCAAAAGGTATGAATAGAGTCATCCAAGATTTTTGTACTTTGTAGTATGATGTCAAAAACTCGTGAGCAATTGTTTGTTAAGGGAGTTGGTAAAATATCAGAACCTCAACCTAGTACCCCAAAGTTAGTGTATACGAAGAGATGAAATGTTGAAAGGCAGCAAAAGCCTGCAGGTGAAATTTGTATCTGACTTATGTTTCTTCGGTTTCATTTGTATTATTGTATTGCAATTAGTTTCTACTTATTGGTAGTTGTAGCTTCTCAATCTTTTCTTATGTAATTCGGATGATTGGATTTTAAAGAAGCTGCATTTTTTACCCCAGGGTGGTCGGGGGGAGGGGGGCCTGGGCTAAATTGGGATTAAAGTCACTCCTTTGAGTATTGAACCCGGGACCTCCCATAAGGGAGAGTGAGTCGGGGACCAGCTGAGCTGAACCGCTTCCTCTAAAGAAGACGGTCTTCTTTAAGTTGTACACTCGATGAATCATCTTTTTGAACGAGTTAAAATAAAATAATTTATTGTGTTAAAAAGGCAACCTGGTGCATGATGGCATCCCCACAAGGTGAGTGTATAGGGAAGGTCTCACCACAAGGTTGTAACGGTGGCAAGCCTTCTCTTGTCATTTTGGCAAGAGACAGCTCCCAAGATTTGACCTACCTCTCAAGTTGCACACTCTCAATGAATCATCTTTTTGAACGAGTTAAAATAAAATGATTTAGTGTGTTAAAAAGGCAGCCTAGTGCATGATGGCGTCCCCACAAGGTGAGGGTATAGGGAAGGTTTCACCGCAGGGTTGTAACGGTGGCAAGCCTTCTCTTGCCATTTTGGCAAGAGACTGCTCCCAAGATTTGACCTACCTCTCAGTCACATGACATATTATAAGAAAGTAGGAGATTGGTGTTTTAAAAAAGCACCTTTAGAACCTAAATAAAAAAGCACTTATACCATAACTTATTCCATACAGGATCTTAATGTACTACGTAGTAGTCCATACCATTGTTCCCTTGTTTCCTTTTGTCACCACTCACCAGATGTGTTTTTTAGATATTATCTGTTTTTTTTTTGTAAACTTGAGTTAGAAACACATGTTGCCCTTTCAAGGATACATTGTGAAACTAGTATTAGTACAAAAAGAATGGTAACATAAAAACCACTGCTAACACAATAAACCAGTCCCTCCAATTTGCCTTTTTTTTAAAAGATAAATAAAGGAAGAATGGTAGATTACTAGAATAACAAAGAAATACTATTAGCCATTTGAGAAATGAATGGAAGACAAGGTTGATCATTGCTCCTTTGTGTCTTTGCCGAAATGAACTTTTGGTAGTTTTTGAAGAACCTTTTCATCCAATTGACTGTACTGCCTCTTTAATTGTTTCTTTGCTTTGTGAGCATAAGCATCAACTTGATCTTCATGCTTCTCATAGAATATAGGTACAGTCAACAGCATAACAAATACTGCCCAGTTAACACAGGCAGGAAAGTCAGTTTCCTCAGTATTAAGCTATTAAGTAGCAAAATGAGCATTACTTCTCTTAGAGCCTGTTTGGCAAGGGCCTTTACCCCCAGTTTGGTTGGGGGATTTCGGAGGGGAGGGAAGGAGAGGATTGATTTTTTATTTTATTAATTTATCTGAATGTTTTAGTTTTAAACTTCAAATAACTATAAAATTAGTTAAACCATGTATTTTTATATACTATTTTGTCTTCACTTTATTTGAATTTTTTAAAATGGAAAAAATGTTTTGAATTTAAATATGACTCCTCCGGTCCTCCCCTTCCCTCCCCTCTGAAATCCCCCAACCATACTGGCCCTTAGTGATTGTTAGACTTACTTACCTATGAATGGTAAGAGGAAGAGTAAGAGAAACTCACTGATGTATACTAGGGTGAGAAAGTCGAACCAGCTGCCAATGGTAGAAACTATCCACAAGCCCAGAATTGCCTACATTTCAAATATAAGCTTGTTGTAAACCGCAGCTGCTTGTGTATGTGTCAATGTGTGTAGTTAACATGTTGATAAATGGGTGGGAAAAAGAAGTTGCATACATATAGGAATTTCTTCAAATCCTTCCCGGAAGCTACTTCTCGGAAAAGACCAATAGCCCAATGGATCTTATCTCTCACCAACAAAGCTGCTTGCCTACACATATCCTCCGGCAATACGATCTCTGGATAATCCGGTGGAGTCCTTGCAATTTACAAACAATATCATATTTTGTAAATAAAAGTCATTCCAAGAAAAAGGAAACTGAGAGCATGTCAATGGGTTCTCTTCTCATGTACTCCGTATTATATACATGTAAAAGTTGGGTTTTGCAAATCATGTCCCAGTTCGTCTTTGCACCACATATATTTCTAATAGACTTTGCCCATTCATTAAACTTTGCACCATGATTTACCATAATATTTTACTTTATACCCATCCTAGTTTACATATTCAAAGAAAACAAACATGGGATGCTAGTAAGGTTGTTAAAACCATGTTCTGCTGTGTTGTGTTGTAAAATCGTACAGTTTTGTGATCCGAGATGATCAATTGATTCAGATCACGTGCAAGATAGTATGAAATCATGTATAATCTTAATAGAACGGTAAATAACTTGCAATATTGATATTTTCAATGAATCTAATGATTTGTGATTTGATCTGGCCAATTTGGACAACCTTGGCACGAAACCGAAATTATGACAAAATATGGAGTCAAAAGGGCAACCCATAGATAAGAATAAGATCTCCAGATCACAAGTGTTAACTTACTTGTTCACAAAGGAGGAGAGGTTTGACCACAAAAACATGATTGCCAGGGAAAGTATAAGGGAGTGGCAAAGGAAAGTAAGAACATGGTAGCCGATCCACTCAAACAGAAGCCATATAACAGTTGCACCTGCAAGACCTCCTGCTGATATCTGCTTGTTCCTCCACAATATTATATCAGCAGCTGTTATAAAATATATCCACTGATGAGATCACACGAATTTATTAAGGTACGCTATGATGTGGTACGTGCGACAAAAAACATACGTTTTCCACCGCCAAGGGCGGCATGGACGGGTTTCTGCCGGCCGAAAAGGCGTCCCTTTTTTGGTGGTGAATCCGTACTTTGTTTGGTAACATGGATATTGCCATCAGCGTCAGATGAAGCTGGGCGTATATGGTGTGTGTCATGAGCATCCTCCATTGAAATTTCAGAACCAACTTCATCGTCTCTTTCTGACATTTCAATTAGTTTCTGCTAATCTAACCAAAAAGAGCAAAACAAAAATAAGATCAAGGGAAAACTCTGTCTGGAGGGGAATGTCAGATTCTGTTAATTTCGTTTCTTGGTTTGGAAGGTTAAAAAAGGCATTAATTAGTTTTCTTTCGTTGCATATGACTAATTCCCAGGCTCTCAGCTAGTCAGATAAATGAATCATCCAAAGATCCAAAATTCCAGGGAGCAAAACTATCAGAACCACATTTTAGCCCTCTCACCTCTCCCCCACAAAAAAAGGTTTTCAGTTTTGCACAATACCCCGAGGATCCCCATCTTTATTGTATTCCTAGAATTTTGGTGAAAGAGTTTAACACATAATTAATACGGAGTAATTCATTGTATAATGCATAATGTCTTTACACGTATGTCCATAATAGATCTTAATAAATTAGAATTCGCACAATATACTAAGATAGGAGAGGGTCACAACTGCATCACATTATGAAATGAAAGACCATTAAGTATTTAAGTGATTCGAGTAAACTTGGTATCCTTAGCTGGATTTGAACTTGAGTTGTTTGATTAGATTCTGAAGTTCTAAGAATAACAGGTGGCTTTATCTACCAAGTATGTCAAAAGAATAAAACAAGTAATGCTTATATCCAAATGAAGATAATATACGAAAGTCTTGGTTGCGTTGACTTGGTCATTTGTGTAGAAGATCGAGTTGTAGACCTCTTAGATGAATTAAGTGGTGGGGAGATGAGGGAGGAGAGGGAGGGGACAACCTAAACACGCATGAATTAGATTGGAGAGGGAAATTGAAGGGAGAGAACATTCATGTGGAGAGTGATTCTTTATTGTTTGCCTTCTTCTTTCTCTATCTAGAGTTTTTAACTCTGAAATTATATATGATGATTCATGTAAGCGAACCTCAAACACTTTCGAGAATAAAATTTAATGTTTTTTGTCTCCAAATGCATATGCCCTGATATTTTAGGTACAAAAGTGTCTTTAGAAGTCATAAATTGACCTTAGTAGCTTAGGCTTCTAAACAATTCCCCCACCAATATTACTTATGGATATGTACCTTAAACGCAATATTAAGATAAAATATGTTATTTGAACATATACATTTTTTTATTTTATATTAAGGGTAAAGTCATCATGTCCCACACATGGGTCGCATTGACGCATCATGACACACTTATATATACACACCTATTGCCACAAATGTGCCTATGCTTAATATTGGCCAATAGCTAGCTTTGCTTGTTCTCCAAGAGTACCTACTACCAGGGGCGTAGGGTATTGATGTTATTCAAAGGGCTTATGATATTGATACAATATGAATACTCGCATTTGTGTTTAATACTATGTATGTTTTATGCTCCAATCATAGAAAACTCTAACTTCACCCAATAAGGCTACAACTATCTGAAACGTAATTGGACTATATGATAAACACGGCCTGAATCGTAAAATTGATCCTGAATTACTTCATATATCGATACAATATGAATATTCACACATGTATTATTGACATATTTTAGGCACTGCTCATAGGAAACCCTAATTCCACACAAAAAGACCACAAGTACCTGAAATGCAATTGGACTATATAATGAACATGAATTGTAAAATTGATCATGATTTACTTCATATATCTATAAAATACTAATACTCACACTTTTTATGACATGTTTTAGGCTCCGCTCATAGAAAATCCTAATTCCACCCAACAAGGCTCCAACTACATGTCTTTGTATTTTAGATAGTTATGGCCTTTTGAATGGAATTAGGATTTTCTATGAGCGGAGCCTAAAACATGTCAAACATACATGTGAATATTCATATTTTATCGATATATATAAAGTAACTCGGGATCAATTTTACAATTCACGTCCATCATATAGTTCAATTGTGTTTCAGACAGTTGTGGCCTTACTGGGTAAAATTAGAGTTTTTTTATATGCGGAGCCTAAAACATGTCAACCATACATGTGAATATTCATATTGTAGTGATATATTAATTAACTCAAGATCAATTTTTTATAATTAACTTCCATCATATAGTTCAATTGCATTTCGAATTGTTGCGGCCTATTGGGCAAAATAATTAGGGTTTTATATGGGCGGAGTTTAAAATATGTGAAACATACATGTGAATATTCATATTGTAACAATATATTTAGTAACTCACGATCAATTTTACAATTCATATTTATCATATAGTTCAATATTTCGGATAGTTGTTCAAATAGGGCATTCATACTTGACCCAGTTTGACCAATGGTCCTGAATCCATGTGATTTCTTGCAGGTCTACAACGAAAGTTGCTGTTAATTTCATATCCATGTGATGATACTTTCTTACAAGAAATGTGCTGGCAGATGTAGTGTATAAACAATCTCATTGGAGCCGGTGTCGTTTATGATGCAAATGGTATATTTTTCCTTTTCACGAAATGCTATTTTTACCGGTTTGTCTACTTTTTTCCTTTCTACTTTTGTAATAAGGAAACTTAAGTTGAAACTTTAACATGTATGGACTTGATGCTTTTCATGATCTTTTTGCTAGCATGCCTTTTCTTCTTGGGAGTTCTCCATGCACCATGCTCTGTTTTTTGGAATAGTATCACCATGAAGGTACATTCCATGTTCTTTGTTTTTCTTTCACTTTTTTGAATCTATAATATGTTTATACCATTGACACTGTTTAAAATCTTTTACTGATGCAAGTACAGATATGAGATTTTTTCCCCAATTTTTCTAAACACAAAAAGAGACATAAAATGATTTATTTTCATCTCTACATTTTCATCTCTCTAAATTTCATCACTTTTTTTTAACATCAATAGGTTCAATAAAAAGTAATTTCATCTCTACTTTGATGCCTGCAGTGTTGTTAAAAGGTCATTTCATCACTCTTGATTTAAATTTTGTGTTTTTATTTTAAAAAATCAGAGAAATTGCACTTGCAATCAATGTAAAATAAAAATTGGCATTGCTATTTTCCTTTTTTGTGTGTCATCTAAAAAAATTACTTTGCTCTCGAGAGCATAACAGCTTAGGTAAGAAGAGTCAACTCTTTCCTTCAATTTCCTAATGCTAATAAGATAGCCAATGCACCAGATAAATTAATATTCTTACATATGTTTTTTACCACTTTGCCAATTGAATTTGTCAACCTTAATAGAACTAAAACTGCAAACATCATGGACTCAATCACAGTCTAACCAAAAAGGAACACATAATTCTATTCCCTTCATGAATCCTTTAGACCGGTTTAGGTATCTGGTTTTCATATTGTTCTACCGCTTTTGTTCTACAGCTATTCGAATGCATTATGGTTCATTCAAGCCATTGGTGACCCCTATTTTTGGCTTATCACCTTTATCGGTCAAGTTTTCACCAAACACGAAGTTTTTGATTTTGCGCCCCGAATTGTGTAGCAATCAAAATAAGTAAGTTTGAAGTTATTGTTGTGGCTGAATTGACTGAAATTACTATAGAAAACTATTTTTGTTGTTTTTCATATGATTTTTTCTTTATTTTAATTATAGAATACATTTTTAATATTTTGTTCATAATTCAACAGATTCAACCACTTCAGCCAGAATTTAATCATTTTCAACAGAATCAGCCAACTTCGGTGTTACCAAGTTAACTCCTGCTTCTCCGCCTAAATTTGACATATAATTCTGATTGTAACATCACCACATGCTTAAGTTGATTATAAAATTTGTTTCAAGACAGAGCCTCACTATTTCATGGGGCCTCAAAACAAAAATAAGTTATTAGTAATACTCTGTATATGAATTTACTCCGTAATCGTTGAAATTGGATTTGAAGTTTGGACGAAGAACACTTTCCAGCCTGAAGCCTCCAGCGTCGTATTAGTTGACTGCATTACACACAAGCAATCAGTTCTGATTTCTGATTGATTATTTAAGTATTTTCTAGTTTCGATTTCTATTGATTATCCGATTTCAGAATTTGGTTCTTCCAGAATTCCACAATTTCAGTATTTTCTAGCTTTGTAGTTCTCTTCCGTCCAGACCTTATTTAAAAGTGATGGTGCGGTACGGTCTGTGGTCTTCACATTTTTTATTTTGTCATTATATGCTTCTTTTTTTGTTTTTGTTAATAACTTTATAAATACTATCACAAAAAAATGACTTTACAAATACTACGCACTTAGTAATAATGGTTGTAAGTTTGTAAGGAATAAAGGATTACTACTTACTATTAGTCATTTATTTATGGTTCACACTAATATTTTCTAATTGTAATTGGGCATTTAGTTATTTGGTCACTCATATTTTAATTTTATATTTCTTATTTTCTGTTTGTGGTTTTCAAATAATTATTAATTATTATTTATAAATATGCTAAATATGTAGGATTATCATGGCGGGTAAAGTGGTAAACCAAAATTTGACTTCAAATGTACAAAAAGAAGGAATATGTTTAGAAGAAATTTTGTTATTAAATCGCTTGCTGACTCTACAGATGGATTGTAAAGACAACCTTTTCTTCCTCAAATATTGTTGGCATTGAGAATGGAGATGTTGAATGTTTATTTTATCTTATTTTTCTATGACTGTGTTATATATGGAGTAATTCAGATTAATATGAGATGCGAATATTAAACGTTTTTCGTCTGGGGCCTCCAAAAGGCTAGAGCCGGCCCTGTTTCAAGAATTGAAATATTTAATGCTCTATAGTCTATAGTTTATAATCATTTCCGTTCAAACATGCACTTCAATTTCTGAACATTGTCTGCAGTTAATCAACTATGAATCCTAATTTGTTTGTGATATGATGTTATTAAACCGTTTTTATTTTGGTTTAATTACTATTATTATTAAAATATTACGAAGTACTATTATTTAGTTTAGCGATTATTAATATGCCTACTTGATTTACAGGGCAACCGTCTGAGCCACAATTCCACCCGTATCCAGTCTGCAGCTCCAAGATGATTTCGAAGAGGGTACATTGCATGCAATGCTCAATCCCGATATTGTATGTAAATTGGTTCATAACTGTCGTCCACCGTCGATGCCGTCTTGCCGGATAATTTGAGGCCAACTCCTTGTATATATGTTTGTGCTTCATTTGTAATACTCAAATCAAAGACAAAATCAATGAAAATGACCCATCGTTATAGATCATCTAAGTTCACATAGTTTGCTAATATTACTACGTAATACGGAGTAATAATTAACCCGATGTAGATACTCTTGATTTTTTGGGACTATAATACATCTTTAAAGTTTTCATTTATTGTTACTAATAAAAATTTCATTGTTTTTTGTAATGGTGCATACACCTTGGTGTCTTCCTCCGACGTCCATTTTTTATGCACGCACAGTCCTATATGAAATTTTGAGGGCGACAAGTCTAATTGGTTTGAAGTTTGTGATACACGACGAAGAAGGAAATAAGAAAAAAACTGCAAAAATGTTATTTTATACTATGTAAGTAAGTCTTTAATAATTTGTAAACTGAGTGAAATAGTTACTATCATTCGCCTGATAAAAGTGATATAATCTGTAATTTACGTTTATAGATTTTGCATGTTGCACGGATGGAAAAATTTTAGGGTACTTTGATAAAAAAAATGAGGATATTACGAAAATTTGTCCCAATTTCCTGGGGAGTGACCGAGTGAGGGAGTATCATATATGTCGTCGCCGTCTCTGTATCTGCGCTGATTTGCCGCCTTGAGTTGCTCCCTAAAACTGGAGTACCTTGGCTAAACGCAGCAGCAGGGATGCAGGGAACTATAGCTTCAAGGGGCCTTATGGTTAGCAAGCTCTTCTTCCATAAAGCAGAGTGCCTGCTTTTGGATTACGTTCCATCCCGCTCGATGCATCTTCAACGACTCAACTGCCGCAGCTCTCTTTGGACTGGCAACACTAATTCATATCACGCTTTCACCAGGCAGCTTTCCTCCAAGCCAATGCCGATTTGGCCGTCTTCTAGAACTGCTAGCCCCTTCTTAAGACAAGTCAACTCTTTTCTCTCGGACCCTCCCTCCAAAACCCCCCAAGACCCTGTAATTCTTCTCTCTTGATGTCATCTTTACATAGTTACCTGGATATTTGTATACATGTATTGAATATGTAGACATTGTTTGAAATTCGGAAGTGCCTGAAGTTTTTTTTGTTATTTGTTTTTTTTTACTGGGAATCGGGGTGTAAGGTTCGATTTCCCAATGGGTATGCTATGTTTTCTACAGATGGTGGAGGATTGGGCAAAAAAATCCCAGTAAAGCTAGAACAATCAGGGACTTTTGTCAAAGGAGTGGACTCAAACAAGCAAATAACCGACACAAAAATTATAGGCACTCTTGTAGAATCCATGTGGATGAAGGATAACTTGGAGTTCCGATTAAGAGTGGTTGCAGCATTATGTTTCTTAGTTGGTGGAAAGGTATGCTAATTTTAGATAAGCCAGAGAAATTGTTCAAATATCAAGCTTGACTTTTATGTCTGGTATATGAATTTGTTTTCCATCCGCAGGTACTGAATGTTCAAGTTCCATTCCTGTTTAAGCTTTCTGTTGATTGGTTAACTGCGGCTACTGGAAATGCTAGCACACTTGCTCAGTTTACTGCTTCTAACTCAACCTTCTTAGCTCTTTTTGCGAGTCCAGCTGCAGTTTTGATTGGATATGGGATAGCACGGTTGAGTGCGACTGCTTTTAACGGTACTTTGCTATGTACATTGTTGTTAGTGCATATTGTCTGTTAATGTTTCTGTTCTCATTTTTTTATGGAGTATATAATTAATTATTCATTATTTCGACTATACCAATGGTTGAGTCTTTGATTCCTGCTATGCTTTTCTTTTAATGTTTTTTCCCATCTTGCATTTTATGAATGGCTCAGAATTGCGAACAGCAGTTTTCTCTAAGGTGGCACTTCAAACAATTCGATCAGTTTCTAGAAAGGTATAGTGCTAAGGTCCCCTTCTCTCCCTTATTTTTGTATCAGTTAGCTTCACTAACTAGGGATCACAATTCACAATATCTACAAAAGTACATTCTTTTTACTTCTCGTCTCGTTCTACTATAGATGCTTTTATTGAACTTAATCTTTATTGGCATATCAGTTAAACCTTTTTTTGAGAAAGCAGTCCAGCTCAGCTGGTCGCCGACTCACTCTCCCTTATGGGAGCTCGCGGGTTCAATATTCAATGGAGTGAGTTTGATCCCTCATCCCAGTTTACCCCAGGCCCCCAGCCCCCCTCCCCCAACCCTTCCGGGGTAAAAAAATCAGTTAAACCTTTTTTAACTCTTCCTAAGTACTCGTATATGCTAGTTGTTTGTTTCTAAAGAGGTTTCTTTTGCATTCCTTAATGCTGATACATAACAGACACCAACTTCTGCAGGTCTTTTCGCATTTGCATGAGCTCGATCTGGAGTACCACCTCAGGTATAATCTTAAGCCATCTTCACATATTTTAAATTCAACTTACTGGTGTGGAATGATATATGGACAAAAGAGATCATTCTAAGATGTTATGCTAGATATTTTTAGGTCAAAGTATCTACGAGCTCATTTTTTCCTAGAATCATGCTTTTCAGATTGTCCACATACTATAGCAATGCACTAAAGGAAACTCGTATACCTGATTAGTGAATTTGAACTGTTTGTACTATCATGTCAAACATTTCTAAGGGGCTTAGTACCTATTAAGATGTGATATTGTGATAAACAGGGCATTGCCAAATTGGCAATGTCCTTGATGTGAAGTCCTTGGCCAAATGGTTAGGGGTTCCTCAACTGTACCAGAAGTTATCTAGTTGAGCTAATGGGGTTATACCTTGATCTCTCTATAAGGATAATTAGTGTTCCCATTTGTTTCGGATTTTTCAGATTTTTTTTATTAACTTAACTGTTAACTGAGCATATTAAGTGGTTGTATATTTATACTCAATTTTCATGGCTGTGCCTACTTTTTAAATATTTTAACTTTATTATTGTTATAATCCAGTCGAGAAACTGGTGGTCTAAACCGGATTATAGATCGTGGTAGCCGTGCTATTAATTTCATTCTATCGTCTTTGGTGTTTAATATCGTTCCAACAATACTAGAGGTATGTGTTTTTAAAATGTTTATGATTTAAGTTTCTTGGAATTTGATTGTTATCTCTGTAGATTTAACATGAAGCCTTTCAGATTTCTATGGTATCAGGTATACTTGCATATAAATTTGGAGCACCATTTGCCTGGATCACTTCCCTGGCTGTTGCTGCATATGTTGCTTTCACACTTTCAGTAACACAGGTAAGGTTTTGTTGATTAGTATTTCATTGCTTTGCTTTTGACAGAAAATTCACAAGCACATGAAATCTGCTGTTATTTAGAAAACTGGTTACGTATCTTAGGGTGTGATTGATGGAGGAGGACAAAGACATAATTTTCCTTGTATTCAAACTCAGAAGGAATCCGATTATACACAAACCATATGGACTCTTCACCTAGCCACCTAAGAGAAATTTGAAAAAAGACACAATGTGAAACATGTGCTAAATAGAAATGTCCAAAGTTTCCTATTTCTTAACACTTCCAGCCTCCTGTGGATGCCCTTTTCCAACCAATTGACTCAAAAACCAATGCCGGTTTGTTCTGTATATTGATTTATAAGCTTTCTCTTATTTTTCTTGGAACATATTTTTAGGGGTTGTAATGCTCAACTATTTGAACTTCTTTCGGAGGATTTGTAGATACATAATTCTGACCTTGTATGTCCCTGTGTTTATTTTTACATTACTATAACTATTACTATTATTATAATCAAACATTGTGTTTTTGTTCTAAAAACCGCCAACACACCCTGTTTCCTCCATTTCACTATACAAGGTGGACAATTTTTGCATGTTGAAGTGTTCTCTAATATTCTACTAGAGGTCTCTTGTTCTGAATTCTGTTATCTTTTTCATTAATGTTCCTGGAATTTACTTATAGTGGCGAACTAAGTTTAGGAAGGAGATGAATAAAGCTGATAATGATTCAAGTACAAAGGCGATTGATTCACTCATTAATTACGAGGTAATATGAATTACTATATCATGAATACCTTGCTTTACATCAGTTGGTAAATTTTCCACTTCCATAGCTAACATTTTTTCCTAAATTAACATTCGGTGTTATCTTTCAGACTGTAAAGTATTTTAACAATGAGGCTTATGAAGTTAACAAATACGATGAGTTTTTGAAGAGTAAGCTGATTCACTCAATATGACTTCTTTCTGTTCATATGGTAACTTGAGACATTACGCCGCTTACTAAAATGCTTTGGAAACTCCTATGCATGGAGCCATGTTCTGCATTAGGCTATTTAGTTAAAACTATTTCCATTTTGCATCTGTGGTTATTTGTTTTATTATACAATCAGTAAGCTGTGAACTAAGTTAAAGTTAAACTTGATTGCAATAAAAGATTAAAGTCATAGAATATGTAACTTGGATGTACTACCATAAGAATATAACAAGTACAACTAATATATTTGTTGTGCATCATTTGTAGCTTTGGTCAGAGCGACTTGTTTAGTTACATTGTTTGTTAGTTTTTTGTCTAGATAATGATATTGTTTCCAATGTTCGTCAACTATTTAGAATCCTAAACTATTGAGAAGCAAATATGCCTGCATATTTCCTCTTTCCTCTTCTTATACTTTTTCAGTGTTATCTTATTATTTTTTACTTCAGGATATGAAGGTGCTGCTTTGAAAACACAGCGTAGTCTAGCATATCTCAACTTCGGCCAAACTGCAATATTTAGTACAGCTCTTTCTGCTGCAATGGTGTTATGTTCAAATGGAATCATGAATGGTACAATGACTGTTGGCGACCTGGTAGGTTAATTCTCCACCAGTTATTGTCGTATTCATATTTATTTCCTTTGCTATACAGCTACTATCTACATTTGAGCATATATTCTTCTTCTTCTTCTTCTTCTTGAGTGCAGGTTATGGTTAATGGCCTTTTGTTCCAACTCTCCCTTCCTCTCAACTTCCTTGGCAGTGTATACAGAGAGACTGTCCAGAGCCTCATTGACATGAAAGCTATGTTTCAGTTACTAGAGGTATCCAAAGGTCTTTTAATATATCACACTCGTGTTTACTACTATTGCACCTGTCTTAGTGTACCTATGCGTTTATTTTCTTCGTGCTTTCCTAACTTTTATTTTGATTGACAATAGGAGAGGGCTGAAATAAGAGACACAGATAATGCGAAGGCTCTGAAGTTACACGGGGGTAGCATTGAATTTGACAATGTTCACTTCAGGTGGATTTTAAAATATCTAATCTGTTTTAGTACCATGGGACACGCCATTCATTAACTAGTATTACAGCTTGATTTTTTCCTGTTTAAGCTCTATTTGAATAATCTCCTAATGCGTTTTCAGAAGGTCCACTCTTAAAGTGAAAAAGTAATGAGCAATTATGTTCATGACTGAGCAACCTAATAGATGGGGTTGCCAGCATAATGTGTTTCATTCTCCTTTGATGGCCACTGCTTCATGTAGTTATGTGTGGAAAATGTGTATTTCATTTTTTTCATTTTAAAATTATCGTTGCTAAAACTTTGCACCAGCTAATTCTCACTGTAGCATTAAAGTCTGAAATGTATATACTTATTTTCCATTTTCTGTTCCTTTTTCAAAGTTATTTGACAGACAGAAAGATTTTGGATGGGGTATCTTTTATGGTGCCTGCTGGAAAAAGTGTTGCTATTGTAGGAACCAGTGGGAGTGGTAATGCTTCCATATTTGTGCTTGCTGTTGAGTTAATATTCATATTTCTGTGTCTTGTAGCAAAACTTTAATGACATAATATCTTGCATGCCCTTGTAAACAGGTTGCTATTGTAGGGACCATTTCATTTGTTCTGATCTTCTTTTCCGTTACCAGTCCTCCATTCCATTTTCAGTGTTCACTTTGACTAGACACAGCTTAAGCCAGTCAAATACTTCTAACCTGATGGTTTTTATTTCCAACATAGCATTAATGCCCTTAATTTAGAAATAATTGAATAGTATTGAAAAAAAAGTTGGTAATAGCCAATCGCTAGAAACTGTTTGTATGAGTGATAGCTTTGGTAATGCTCCCTTTTACACATAGGATGCTAATGTCTAAATTGCTACTTTTTGCAGGCAAATCTACCATTCTTAGATTACTCTTCAGATTTTTTGAAACCCATTCTGGAAATGTAAGATGAGAAAAACTTATCTGTATTGCATAGCTCTTTGATTATTTCTTTATTTTATTTTATTTTATTTTATTTTATTTTATTTTATTTTATTTTATTTTATTTTATTTTATTTTATTTTATTTTATTTTATTTTATTTTATTTTATTTTATTTTATTTTATTTTATTTTATTTTATTTTATTTTATTTTATTTTATTTTATTTTATTTTATTTTATTTTATTTACGGGAAGCTTTATATGCTAATATGACAGATAAGGATTGATGGACAAAATATTAGGGAGGTCACTCTTGACAGCCTTAGGAAATCTATTGGTGTTGTTCCACAGGATACTGTAAGTCATAATCAATTACAAGCAGGAACTTCTCTCTTTCTCTCTATAGGATCTTTTGGATGTATGGTTTGAAGGGGAAGGCTTTGGAGGGCTTAGTCTATATGATGTACTTTTTAGATTGGGAAAACTATCAAATAAGCCCCTTAACTTTTCCAAAAAATCAATTAGGCCCCCCAACTAAAAATCCGATCAATCAAACCCTCGAACTATTGGAAAATAGCCAAATCCTCTTTTTAACCCGTACTCTTCCGGTTCCCAGTCACACTGCGGGCCTACATGGCGTTTTCTTTTCCTCTTATTTTTCTTTCCTTTCCCTTTTTCCCTACGCCTCTCTTCTTCTCCATCTGCTACTCAAGTACACAACACCTGCAAATTTCTTCTTTCTTTCCTATTTCTCTTCTCCTTCCTAGTGCTCTGCTCGTTTTTCCTGGCCTCACATCACCCTCCTCGCTCCTGTATGCTTCCTCCGCCTATTCCTCTTCTTTGGCGCCGAGGCGCCAACTAAGGTCTATAGCCGGATTGAAGCTACGAAGCAGTCCGAAGGAGGAACCCATGACTGCTAGTACCGACGGACAAGATCTCCGCAATCTACAAAGTAGAAAGAGCCTTCGGCCGGAGTTGTTGAACGACGCGAGAAGCTAAGGAACGGCCTGACCTGGTCGCTACCTTCCGGCGAGATTCTCTGGATGGCTCCAGGCTCCCAGAGTTATAAACCGGCGGATGGGGTGAAGAATAGAGGACTCTTCTTAAATGGGAAGGGAGCTAATGTTGGTGGTAGGGTGGGAGAAGAAAGAGGGAGTGGAACAAAGAAGATGGAAGAAGGAGGTTTACTGGAACAGTGGAACGGGAAGGATCGGAGGAAGGTGAAGGAGAAAGAAAAGTAAAAAGAAAGAAAAAAAAGAAAAAGAATAAAGAAAAATGAAAACAATTGAAAAAAATGAAAAGTGCCAGTGTGTTGACTGTGTTCGTACAAAATAACGGGGCAATTTGTTCATTGCCGGTAAAAATGACAATTTGGTATTTTTAATTAAGTTTAAGGGTTTCATTGATTGAATTTTTAGTAGAAGGGTTTAATTGATTTTTTTGAAAAGGTGGGGAGCTTATTTGATAGTTTTCCCTTTTAGATTTTAAAAAGTTGGAAGACTAACATTCTTTGTGATGGTATAACATTTCAAATATTTTCAGTCACTTATTGTTCATTTTTGAAACGTTATATTATATTATAAAAATATATATATATATATATATTCAGTTGTATAGTAATGTTTCCTTTTCCATTTTTCCCATTTAAACCCATCCATCCAAACAGAACTTAAGTAACACTTTGTTAAGCTTCAAACTTCAAACATGGTAAAAATAAACGGTTGCTCTATTTAGGTCTTGTTTAATGATACTATCTTCCACAATATTCATTATGGCCGACTTTCAGCAACGGAAGAAGAGGTTAGTGGATGTTCATTTGCTATTCCAACCAATCAACCATATGCGTGTGTACTGTGTAATGTTTGATATACTATTAATATATTTTGCATTAATCTCCGGTTGTATATTCTGTTAGGTATATGATGCTGCACGACAAGCTGCTATTCATGATACTATTATGAAGTTCCCTCAAACATATTCGACTGTCGTAGGGGAACGTGGACTTAAGGTTCCTTTTCTGCCCCTTTAAATCTTTCTCGAGTTTATTACCAAGAGTATGTGCAATTAGGCTTTACCTAATTCTTTTCATTGTGGGCCCTTTTGTCATGATTCAAGTCTGTATTTTCCATACAAAAAGAAGAAAAACCTATGTCAATGCTACTTGCAAGGAGAAATGAATGACCAGTTTTAGTTTTTGTAGTTCTGCTATTCTCTAGTTACTTTTTTATGTGACTTAAATCCATAGAAACTTCTGTGGATGAAGATGATAGGACATCAGTTCAGTTATATCTTGTGCCATTTGAAATGTTGAGCACCATGGATTTTGATTTTTTATAAAGATACATGGAAATAATGATTTTTTAACAATTTGTTGTATAACAGTGTTTTTAACCAGAACAATGACATAGAAAGTGTTCCACCTTTGTAATGATCTCTGTGTGTCATCAGTTAGTAGGGCTTGGTCGACAAGTGAATCCATCGACCAGGTTCACCTAAGAATTTTTCCATGTATTATTTCCATTAGATTATTCCTTAATTTGTATGAACTCTTAATTCCAATAGTTATGTGATATGTTTTTTTCTTTCAACTTCCTTGTCTCCGATCCTAGTTAAGTGGTGGTGAAAAGCAGCGGGTGGCACTAGCTCGTGCATTCCTCAAATCACCTGCAATTATGTAAGTATATTCTCCTATCTTGAGAATGTGGTATTCAATCTTCTTGTTACCTGTAAGGATTTTGTAGTTCCTTGACTCCTGTCATGAATGCACTTCATATATCCCTGTATTTCTTCTGCTGTATCTCGAAAGGGGAGTTTAATAAAGCAGACTAGGTGATTGACTACATTCTTGTCTTTGCGTAGGCTTTGTGATGAAGCTACAAGTGCACTTGATAGCACCACCGAAGCAGAAATTTTGAGTGCTTTGAAGTCTCTCACAAACAATCGCACTTCTATCTTTATTGCTCATAGGCTAACCACTGCAATGCAATGTGATGAGGTATCTATATTTATCGCAATCCCATTTTTTTCCTTTTTATCTCTTCTTTCACTTCTTTTGTGATGAGGTATCTATATTGCTCATAGGCTAACCACTGCTTTTTAAAGAACACACCCAGGGGTACTCAGAATGTGCAAAAAAAACAACTGAAAAATAAAACAAAAAATTGTGAAACATCTGTTGTCTCAGATGTTTGACTTGTTTCTTACAATCTTACATTGATCAGTCTATCCTCTAAAAAAGACAGTTTATGTGGATGCCATTCTTGTCACGACCTTTGAAAAAGGGAATGACTAGATGAGCATGGAAAGTATTGTGAAATGACAATGATATTACTTAACTATCATTATGTTAAAAAATGCCAGTCTATATCATGCTTCTATTTTGCATTACAAGCCATCAGCCAAAAACAAGTCATTTTCTTGAGTAATTGGTTGTGATTTACTGGTGCTAGATTATTGTTTTGGAGAATGGGAGAGTGCTGGAGCAGGGATCACATGAGGCTCTATTATTGAAGCAAGGAAGGTATGCTCAGCTATGGTCTCAGCAGAATACTTTGGATTCTCTCGACGCTGCCATCAAGCTGGAGCCATAAATATGCTCGTGTGGTATTATTGAAAGCGGAAGCAGCTTTCTCTTCTGGAATGTATTTATGTCTCAGTTTTTGATCATCTGCCGTCTGGTTCCAGTCTTTGTATCCTTAGACATATTCATTGTTAATAGTTTCCAATAAACTGAACATTCATGCTTCTAGAATCTAGATTGATCAAAATAAGGTTTTTGAAGTGTACTTGTTTGTGGTAGAAGTTGTTATAACCCAGTGTTATGAACTTATGAAGATCCCAAGGCACAGTCAGCCAATCGGGTGCTGCCCTATGTTTAAAGAACCGACCTGGCCGACCCTGGAACCTGGTGATCTGGACTAAAACCCAGTTTGGTTTGTTTAAAACCCGGAAATGGTCAAAAACCGGAAAAACCCGGCTCACCCAGGAAAACCCGGTCCGGACCCGGACCCAAGAAACCCAAAACCCCTGGTGTTTTTTTTTTTTAAAAAAAAGATTTCTTTTTTAATTTTAATGCATTTTTTAAATCAATATAATTGCAATTTCAATGTCCTAAAAAGAAAAACTATGTAATATATTTATATATTTATTTAAGAATGAAAATCATGCCAAATTATTATAATATAAATGTAAAATACAAATAAAAATATCATTATATATTTTTATAGGATCATAATTATACTTTGAAATATTATGAGTGTATTAAATGCTTAATAAGTAGTATTGTTAGTTTATTATAAATAATAACTACTTTTTATTATAATTTTGTATTTTTGTATATAATTATATGTTTCTTATTACTCGTATTATATAGATGTATAATCGTTGACCGGTTATCTGGCATTGACCGGGTTGACCCATCGGGTTCGAGTTGACCCGTGACCCAGTCACGTGGCCGGGAATCCCGGGATCCTTCCCGGTCCGGTTTTTTAAACATAGGTGCTGCCTACCTCGTTTTTAATGATATTTTTAATATATTTACTTAGGTATGTTTTTTTTCAGAATTCAGATGCTTCATTTTTTATGTTTAATCCTGATGCTTCACGTTTTATGGAGTATACAATGTGGAATAAATAAAAAATATGCTATCAAAATTAGGATCTCCTCAACATAAAAATAATAATATTTTCTCGCCTTTCTTTTTGTTAAATTTTTTATAAATTCTGGTTATGTGCCTTTTAAGTTTTTATTAAGTTTAAAAATGTTAATAAAATATTTATGTCACCCCTTTCTTTTGATGTTACATTACTGTGTCAACTATTTAATGAATGGTGAAAAACAGATAATAAATTTTAATCATCCAATAAATGCTTGCCACATTAGAGTGCAGTCATAAAGGGCCAGTTTTTTTTTGAACGAAACTAACTTCTATTCATATCCTAAGTTTCAGGATCATTGCATTAAAGAAATGAAAAACAAATCTGACACCAACCAGACACCAATAACTACGACCGTAATTCCGTAAACCCTATGGTGAGACTCAGAGACGGTCACCCCTGAAAGAGCAACACGAATCACTAACCATGTAATGGGCTTGGCACAACCATCCCTATCTCCAAAGATCCAAACATACCCAATGACCTGAACAAAGGCTAAAAACCCAAATAGACTAGGCGTGGACCCGGTTCGGGCCGCCCGGCCCGGGACCGGCCCGGCCCGTCACTGTGCGGGCCCGGAACCGGCCCGGTTCTCGGGTCCGGGTCCGGTTCGGGCAGAGACCCGGTCGGGTTAGCGGGACCGGGCTCGGGTCCTGGTTTTGGAGGCCCGGCCCGGCCGGGTCGGGCCCGGGCCTAACGGTCCACTATTTAAAAAAAAAAAATTTTTTTTTTTGGATTCTTTTGGCTCAAACGGCTACCCCAAACGGCTATATAGCCGTTGGGTGTACCAGGGGGGGTCAGGGGGGTTTGGGTGGGGGGTGGGGTGGGGGGTTGGGGTGGGGGGGTGGGGGTTAAAAAAAAAACCTATAAATACTCCTAATTTTAAACATTTTTTCACACCTCTTCTCCAACTCTTCTAAATCCTACTCTCTACTCATCTCCATTCTCCAATTCTCCATATTCATCTTCTCTAATTCTCTTATTCTCCTTTATATTTTATTTTACTATTTAATACTTATACAATTATTATATCTACTTATATATTAATTATCTACTTATATATATTATTATCTACATATACTATATTGCTTATATTTCTTATCTACTTAATTTCTACTTATATCTCTTAATACATACATACATACTATATCTACTTAATATATACTTTATATAATAAAGTATTAAATATACTTTATAAACTATTATTATATACTTAATACATAATAATATCTACTTCTCTACTTATATTTTATATATACTTATTTTCCAATCTCCAATTCTCCATTATACTCTAATATTTAATTCTTATACAATTATTATATCCACTTAATACATACATTCTACATCTACTTAATATATATTTATATATTAAAGTATAAAATATAAGTGTATTACTCATCGTATAGTATAGTATACTTATATATTATATAATATAAACATTATATTATATATTACTTACTATAACTAGTATTATACTAGTTAATTAGTTAATTAGCATTCTTGTTACATTTTTCATTATACTAGTTAATTAGTTCATTACCATTATTGTAACATTTTTCATTATACTAGTTAATTACTTAATTAGCATTCTTGTTACATTTTTCATTATACTAGTTAATTAGTTCAATACCATTCTTGTTACATTTTTCATTATACTAGTTAATTAGTTCAATACTTCAATACCATTCTTGTTACATTTTTCATTATACTAATTAAAATACTTCACATTTTATTTAACTAGTTGTTAGTTTGTTACATTTGTCACTATACTAGTTAACTACTTAATTAGCATTGTTGTTACATTTTTACTTGTACTAGTTATTTACTTCAAAAGTTGCTATAATTTTAATTGTAGAGACACACATTAATTCTACTTTGCAAAAAATTAGTTTGAAGTATTAATTAAAATAGTTTTAATTAGTTGCATTAGTTTTGTATCCATTATTATATTTGTTGTGAATTAATATTTGTTACATTTTTTAGATGGAAGGTGGTAGATATTCGGTTGATTTGGGTAACCTCCAACGCAATCGAAGAAACGAGATTGGGAGGAAGAAATCCCGCAAAGGTAAAGAACTTGCCGGGTCTTCATCTCAAAGTCGAGATGATTTTGAAACGGGCTACCAAAGGCGAGATGGAGATGCGATGTCCGAAGAACAACTCCAACAAGAATTGGCCCGACATAATAACCGCTTTCTACAACAACAACAAATGCCGACGACCATTGACGAAGAGGAGCTTGAGGATGAAGATGCGGAGGAATTGGAACCGGAGACGGCCGAGGAGGAGGGTGCCGGCAGCCACGACGCCGACGCGCCTGCCTCATCCCAAACCGCCACCGGTAATAAAAAAAGTAAGTCTGAACTAATGAAAAATAATTTTGATAAATGGAAGGACCCACAAACCGGCTATTGGCACGCAACTTGCAAGTGGTGCAACAACAATTATAGTTTGGGAACCTCCGGCGGATACGGATCCGCCGCAAGGCATCTTAAGGCAAAGCACCCCGTGGAGTATGCAAAATTAGGCGGCGGAACGGGGAAGCAAACTCAAATATCGAGGTTTGCGAATTCTCAACCTTTTGGTAATTTCTCCTACAATGATGCACAAAATTTGACTGGTATGGCTAACTTAATTTGTGAAGAAAATTTGCCTTATTTGTTTTCTGAAAGTCTTGCTTTAAGAGATTATGCACAAGGTAGTTTAAATCCTCAATTTAGAAATTATAGTCGCAAAACTGTTAAGAAAGAAATAATAAGGCTTTATAATGCGGAAAAGGAAAGGTTACAAAATTTTTTTGCAAACTTTGATGGGCGTGTTACTATTTGTTCTGACATATGGGAGGATGATTTTCATCATTTATATTATTTGGGTCTGACTGCACATTATATTGATGAGGATTGGAATATGCATAAACGTGTTCTTGCTTTTCGTGAATTTAATGATCGTCACACCGCTGAACATATTTATATTTTGATTGAGCGTATTTTAATTGAGTATAATTTGATTGATAAGGTGTTTGCTATTGGTTTCGATAATGCTACTAATAATACTGCTGCTATACCTAGATTGCGTGAGTTGTGTGGTGCCAATTCTTTGATGGGTAGATTTTTTCATCAACGGTGTGCATGTCATGTTATAAATTTATGTGTGCAAGACGGTTTAAAAGCGTTAGGAGATTCCATGGAGGTAATAAAGGGGGGGGTTAGACGTATTTGGGGTAATGGTCAACTTAGATTAAAATGGCAAAGTTATTTGACTGAAAGAGGTGTGAGATATGTTGCTTTTCCTAAAGATTTGAGTATTCGTTGGAATAGTACTTATAAATTACTTAAAGTTGTTCTTAGATATAAAGAACATTTTCCTGCTTTTTTAAAAGAACATAATAACTATATTATAAACGCGGCTGAGATCGACACTTGCGAAAAAATTTGTAATGTTTTGATATATTTTTTTAATGCTACTGAAACTTTTAGTCATGTTTATAAACCTACCGCAAACCAATTTATTCCACAAGCTGTTAATCTCGCCGATGCTTTTAAAGAATTTCAAAATGCCGTTTTCGTTCATTATTTTTGTGATTATATGAAGGAAAAGTTTTTAAAATATTATGCGCATATTCCCCATATTTATGGTATTGCATTCATTCTCGATCCTCGTTATAGACTTGCTAATTTGGAAGATTGTTTCAACTTCTATTATCTTGCGTTTTTCGGTGAATTTCCAATGTATGAGGATAACCCCATAGATCCGAAAACGGAATACAACGAGGTTAGTACTTTATTTTATGCCTTATTTAATGAGTTTCGTGCACAATATAGCAACGCTCCCCCTCCCCCGTCACGAACATCTTCATCTAAAGGAAAATCGATTTTTAAATCTGCATTTGGCAATCTTATGAAAAAAACTAAAACAACTCACGTCACTGAACAAAGCGCATTGAATGAGATTACTTTGTATTTAACATATGAAGTTGATTTTGAAGAAAATGATGACTTTGACGTTCTAGACTGGTGGAAGTCAAAAGAAAGAACGTTCCCGATTTTAGCACGGATGGCTAAGCAAGTACTATCAATGCCGGTTTCAACAGTTGCGGTGGAACAAGAATTTAGTTCGGCCGGCAACGTCCTAACGGCATCTAGATCGAGATTGAGCGCGG